TTAAGGCCATGTAACTTTAGGAAAGGGAGAGCGCAGTATGAGAAAGGAATGTGCCAGGCTGTGTGTTAGGTATGGAGCCATGGCAGAAGCAAGACTTAGCGGTTTTGATTTGGTGTTTTCTTCTTCTAAAAACAAAAACACCTCTTCTAAATAAGAATGTGCATTGAGCACATAGAGTTTATTCGCCAAATCCTATAAACTCTCTATCCTGTATTTCCTCAGTCAGTACTCAGTCTTCGTTGGGCCATAACATGTTAAATGAATTCCGGCTAACACAAAGATAATTAGCAGGAAAATCAGGGAAATTGGCAGATGCTGCTCAAGCAGGAGAAAAAAAAGTCACTGAAGCCTCTTTGGGCTTTTAATCAAGTGTGTAAGGTACTTCTTTAGAAGAGCTACTGAATAATTCTATTTGAGTCACAGAAGTGATTAGGAAAAGGTAAGGAGCACCCCAGAAGAGGAGGATTCTAACAAACACTGCAGGTAAGGGAAGGTGAGAACAAGACTAGGTAGGCCATCACCCCCACATCCTGAGTCTGCACAGTGGAGGGGGATGCAGTGGCGAGAGGGCTGAGCAGGAAATGAAGCCCCTCAATTTGTTGTAATTACCACTCCCCTGGTGCTGGGGCTGGGAAGGGGGAAGGATGGAAGAGCAAGTAAATTAATGGATTTGGCATTCCAAGGAGAATGGGAGAAGTGAATCAGTCGCAAGTAAATCAAAAGCCCCAGACCCCAAAACGGTCAGATGAGCAGGCTTGCGCCCCCTCCCTTCTGAGTTTGGCCTGAATGCACTAACAGTTGCATATTTGCAAACACACAGACTGACAAGGTAAAATGCAAAACCAAGGGCTAGGGGAATAACACCAGAAAAAGATTTATGTCATGTCATTCTTTATTCCAAAATAACCAGTTGGAAAGTGTCCAAAATCTAGTTAAGATCCAAGTTATATTTCTCTAAGTGTTCTAAGTCTGGAAAAATAAGGCAGTTGCATTTCATTCCCTCTCTGTATCTCTAAAGAGCTTTTCTAACTGAGGGGGCCACATGATGGATGTAAAACCATTGTGATGGCGTCATTAACTGCTGGGTTCTGAAGCCCAAATGAGGTCTTTAGTTTCATTCCAGTGTCAGCACATCTCATGATTTCCTCTTATATATTCACCAGATTCAGAAATGCATCAAAAATTAGGTGGTATGGGATAGAACAACAGTTGCTTTTTTTTTTTTTTACACTAAACAAAACGACTTGGCATGAAAAGTTAACTTTGTTGAGGAAGTCACCCGGAGGTCTAAAAATATATTAAACTATGCCTGAAAATATCAGTTGCAGGGATTCGGGCCAATTATTGTGATCTTTCACCTTGAAAATATTTTCCAACTCTTTTTATATTGCGACGTCCTCACGTTTAAACTGTGTCCTCACGTTTAAACTGTGCTCAAAAGGAAAATTTCTATTTTCAGTTGACAGAAGAGAAACTTGGATAGGGCTGGGCACTTTTCCTGCCTTTTCTTTTACAAACAATGGAAAGCCATTACCTGAGCTGGGATTGTTCTGGAACAGGGCTCCCAGACAAGCGAGGCAGTGATGCTTTCCCATAAGCCAGACTGTTTTCAAAGCTCGTTTTGGCTGAGAAGCTTCTAAGAAGCTAATCCTTTCTGCATTGTCATTAGGACAGCTTTGTTTTTAAAACGTGGCTAGACAGTGTATTCTCAGAAGGTTTATTCTCTCAATGATTTGTGTTTTCCTTAAGTCTTATGTTTTTGTTTTGTTTTTCCTTGTGTGTGTGTGAATAACAGAACTAAAATTCCTTTTGGTTTGGTCCTTCAAGAAAAGTCATTATAAGTAGGTTGAAAAATCTCCTTTTTATAAAATGGAGAAACAGTTGCCTGCCTAGCAGAGTTTACCAGCTTAGAAGCAAGCATCACAAGATCTACTTCTGGCATTTGCAGTGCATTTATTTTAAGGCTGTACGAAGGTGGTTAGTCTTGCTATGTGTTAAGAAGCAACACAGGTTTATCAAGTTGTGGAGGGTTAGGGACTTCGAGAATATTAGAGACTAATTTGTACAGCAAGTATGAATAGAAAAATGAAAAAGCAAAACTATATTGTTTGTTTGGGAGTATATAGCTTTTTTTTTGGTGCTCTTATGGGTTTGTGACTGCTGGTAGGGTAGGGAGGCTTGAGTAACAGAATAGACTTTTAAGGAACTATTAGATGTTTTGTGCATCTGACAAATACATACTGTCAGTGAGACCTATCTTAGAAATGACATCAAAAAATCTAAACAACTGCATTGTTTGTCCTAGATAGGTATCACTCTCAGTTTATGAACTATAAACTTCTAAAACTAACATGGCACCTCACCTACCTTAGTAACTCTTCCCCTGCTCTACTGAGTAATATTTACTACAAATGTGGAATACTGCCTTCATCTTCTTAAAAAATTGTGATTGTTTATAAACACAAGGACTCTACTCTGAAGAGCACCCCGTGTACTTTTTCTTTTACTAATGGTATAATTTACAACAGAATGGGGTCAGAATTAAACAAGATCTGAATTCTCCTTTAGAATTGAATTAGCAGTTGTGTACTTTTTTGAATGAAATTCTGATCTGCAGCTAAAGGATAGGATTATAGGCATTCCAAGTAAACCTCTTGTTAAGAGAGTGATCACTGAGGCATTTTTGCTTTTACTGGTTAAAAGAAGGTTCTAAGGAGAAAGCAGAACTGATATTTAAAAGCAGGTGACTGAGGGAAACAGGTTCTGCAGAAGAACATTGGTGTGGAAATACAAAACGCAACTTGAAACTTGCTGCAACTGGCTGCGAAGTTTGCTGCAGCAAGTCAAATACCTTGACAGACTGATAGGTTAAATCCCCGAAAACCAAACCAAACAAAGGTAGGGCCTGCCACCCCCACCTCCTTCCCCTATTCATTGTTTCACTGTCGTGACTACGTTGCACACATTATTCTATTATTCACACACACATGATTCTATTACTCAACCTGTGCTGCTGAATGTTTACTGTTATGTAATGCCTTAGATCCTTGTGTCAGATATTATAGGACCTGAAGCAGACATGGCCAAGGCCATGAGTTAAACACTCAGTACAGTTTATCCATACTCTCCAGAAACTCCTTAATCAGTTTAATGGTTTACACTAAAGGTTTCCTGTTAATTAACTTATTTGGCAGATCTATTGGTGCTTTTGTTCTTCACTGTAACCCATCCTAATGAAGTCCTGCTCCAAATGATTCATGTTTCCACTGAATTACAGGGAGATGCTACAGTGGGACGAGCACCCAGGAGCGCCCACTCCACAGGCGGGCACCAGGCCCAGTGCTGCTCCTCTAGTTTGTTTTTGGGAAGTAGCATAGGTTTCTCCTCAACACTGATAAACACTCAGGTGCATAAAAGTGAGTAAATAAACACTGTAGCCTTGAGAAAATGTTCCCTCAGAGGCCACTGCTGTGGGCACTCCTTCAGAATGAGCACAGTGTCTAAAAATTCTGTTTGTTGTCTCTCTCCCATAGGTTTTTTGATTTTTGTATCCTCTTTAGCATCAAAAAGAACAATGAACTCACCACACCATAGGAATAGGTATCACAAGTTTCAGACACAGGGAGACTTTGGATTACTTCTGGAGCCATCCAAGGGAAAGTTCCAACCAAGGACATATGTGTTGTGTGGTTGTGAAATCGAGAGGCACCAAAATCACAGATCTGAAAAAAGAGAAACAATCAGTTTCCACTTACTAATAAAAGAATTATCAGTTATAAAAACCAACATCTGAAATTAACATATATATATATAAAGTTAAAAGAAATAGTCCTACCTTCAATACCCCATCAGCAGCTATAACAACTAAAAAAAAAAAAAGATAAATTATGACAATTGTTTGAATCATCTTATGCTGAAAAAAAATCACAAACATACACTTCTACCTTCCATATGGAAAGGTTAGTAGAGGTACTTTTGTATTAAAGATTTTGCAGAAAGGAGTTGACATTAAAACAAAAAAATAATTGCATGAGTGCTGCTAATAAAAAGCCTTTCAAGAAATTTATTTAATTCAAATGTAGTACTGCCCGATAAGAAAAAGCATAGTTTAGTAGTAAGTAGGAGAACCAATTTTCACTTGAATTCTGCCACCAAGGCACTCACTCAGTATTGAGGAATTCATTAGCATTATTACTTCATGCATAGATATCATTTTTCCTTCCACTTGAGTAATTTTCTTGAAAGTAGAGACAGTAGCCATTCATTCACTTAGCCCCACATTATTCACTCAACAAATATTTGCTGAGCACCTATAATGGGAAAGGCTGTGCACTGTGTTCTGGAATAGGAGAGTAAGTCAGACTGGCATTATCTCTGCTCTCATGGAGCTTGCAGTCTAATGGGAGAGAAAAACATCTATAATAAAGTGGGACAAATCCCATGATGAGAGGGCTTGGGATTGCCACAGAGCCAAAGAGCAGGGGTACCTAAGACTAAGGAGGTCATATGAAGTCTCCTGTGAGAAATGATGCTTATGCAAAGACCTGAAGAATAAATGGGGAGGAAAGTAGTTTTCTGGGTAGAAGAAAGAGCCTGTACTAAAGGTCAGGAGCAGAAGAAAAGGCAGGCAATTGTATAAGGCAGGGACCAGGTCAAGAAGAGCCTTTGTGAGAAATGGAGAGCCAATGAATGGTCTTAAGTGGAGGTATCAAGGGTCAAATGTGCAGAGGGGACGGCATGTTAGAGAATGTGACTGACAGCAATGTCATTGTGTATACAAGTTGCTGTAGTCCAGAGAGAAGAGGGTGTCTATGCAAAGGCTGTGGCAAAAGACAGGAGAGAAGTCAACAAACGTTTAGGAGACAGAATTAACTGGTTTTGAATAATTGGATGTGGAAGGAGGACTCAAGAATGAAATCAAATAAAGAGGCAATATAGCATAATGGTTTGAACAGGAGCTTTGGAATCAAGTTATAATTCCTTTAATTTCTGGCTTAGGCATGTGGCATTGTCACTCACTAAGAAAGAGAATGCAGGAATGCCTTTTTAAAGGGATAGAGAGAAGGTGAAAAGATATAGTTCTGAAATTGAGCTCTATTTGGGAATGTTAATCTGTAGATAGGGCTTTTAAGGAAGCAGGTGATTAAGAGCACAAGAGGAGGGAGGCCAAGGATCAATCCTAAAAACACAGTAGATGATCATTAGTTATTAGCTGTTAAAATGGTCCTGATCAATGGACAGAGTAATCTCTGCATGACCTAAGGATAGGGAAATAGCCTAAAGGTAAATGTGATACTATATATAATATGCAATAAACCTTTTCAAATAAAAATATAAATACTAATACAATACTCATTATATTTACAAATACCTTTATTACTTTTTTCCAAATATATGATCAACAGGTATCATTTAAAAATAGCTAATATATAAATATGTAACACAGAACATGAAAGAGTCTTATTATTCCCTCCCCACAAAAAACAATTGCTAAAAGTTAGGTACATATTGTTTCATGTGTATATGTTCCTGTCAAGTAACTACACAAATTATAATTTTAAAAAATGGAGGCATTCTTCATTGTTATTTAGTTTTCATAAGGACAGCATGGATTAACCCATAATTTAATCATTAGCTTCTCATGGGATATTTAGGATATACTGAGAAAGTAGATCAAAAGGAGAGAAGTCAAACAACTTTAGTTTGAAATTTTGAGCATGAATCGAATTTTACAGTCATAAGACTATGACACTTCCTACTAGAAGAATCCTGCTAGATTCACCAACTATATAAAGTGTTTAGCTCCAGGAAGCTTATGCCTAAGAAGTGCCAAAGGAAAAGTGATGTTCTAGAAAAGGGAAAGAAGACTCAGTCAGTCTCCCGGCGGGTCAAGCTGGACATTGCTGAGTTGCAGTTGCCAAACATCTTCCTTTCTCCACAAAACTCAGTCCTGGAGGATGAGGGAGGGTGATGGGTCAAGTCCCCCAGCCCTCGTCCTTCACTGTCATCACTACCCATGCTAAGGACTCCAGTATCAGCATATACCCATTTTAGCTACAGTGATGTAAAGTTTCTAGAAAATAGTCCTTCTCTTCCTTCCTTAGAAAGCATGGAAATAATAATTAAAACATGTAAATAAAGTGATTAGTATGCTTTTTTTTTCAATAGCAAACTTATGTTTACTTTAGCTAGTGCTGGCCAGCTAAGTAATCTCATTCCCTTTCTCCGTTAACTTTCAAGTAATGTAATGGAAGAAGCATCTGTTACTATTCCCGCTTGACGGTAATGTCTAACTCTGCAAATCATTTAAAAATACTCTCCAAGTTATAAAACAGAGGATTATAACTAAACTATATGAAGTACAGGAGGAAGAAGAAAAAGAAAGGCTTTACTTTCCAAACTCCAAAAAGTCATTTCTAAACACTATGTTAGGTAATAAGACTGATGCAAAAAAAAAAAAAAATGTATATATATATATATATACACACAATACTCAGAAGTAACAAGAAAAAAACCTCTCAAAACTATTTAGTATAGATAACTATCTAAACTAAAAAGACTAGAAATACATGATTATACACTTTGATCCAGTAATAGCTCTTTCATAAAATGAGTCTACAGAAATAATTAGGTATGTATTGAAATGTTGCTGCAAATTATTAAGCTCAACTTTTCTTTTGTCATAAAAAATGTAAATGACCCAAATGTCTACATTCTTGCACATTGTACTATGTGTACTATATGAATACTATGCAGTCTCTTGAAATAACATAGAGAACGTTGATATTTATTAACAGTGGAAGGATTTTCATAGTGTCAGTGGTGAGTCAAAACTACAGGTTACAAAAGATAGGCAAAGTTTGATGCTCAATTCTATATACAGGTACTTTGTAATAACATTTTAAAATAAAAACATTACCATTTCTTGACTTGAGATCTCTGTGAATCACCTTGACAGGAGCCTCCATATGTAAGTAGTGCATTCCTTTTATATGAGAAAGAAAGGCCTTTTAATATTTTCAACAATAACTTATTATTAACCATTCATAATTTTGCAATGTATTCCATAGCAGCAATTAAAGTCACATGTCCTATTTTTCCACAATTGATGAAACAGAGACAGGATACATATATATATATATATATTAGAAAATTTATATGCTTTAATCTCTTCTACATCAGAATCTGATTGTGGTTAAAGCTAGCTTCTTATGATACCTAATAAGGACACCTTAATTTTCTGGAGTCTGCACGAAAATAGCACAGTTACTATTGGAAAAAGTGCTCTAATGACTAAGGTATTTCACTAATTTCACTACCAACTGCTTTCTAAGTCAGCCGAAGTTCTAATCGAGGTTTTTAGTTTTCACTTGGATGTCTGCAGTCACCAGCTGCAGCTTATTTTCTCATTATTTATTCCAATAAGACCCTGGGAGTAAAGGAGGTAGGGATGGAAGAACTAGTGGATTCATTAGTTTTGATTGGTAAAAGATTTTGTAATCATCAGAAAAAAATTATAAAATATTTATAATTTTTGTCATATAGTTATAAAATATTTTGGTTACATTAGTTTTAGTTACAAGATATTTTATTCTTCTTACAAGGAAAGATCTTTGAGATGATTCATACTTAAATGACCTGCAAAATTTTCTCCAATATATGTAGAATATAAATCAAGTTACTTCAATAAATTGGATTTACACAATACTTTGTCTTATTATTTTGAACAAAAAAATATACTTTAAAAGATGTATCTCATAGTTACCCCGATAATAGTGTTTTATTCTTTTTCTGTAGTATTGTCTACCCCTTTAAAATATTTATTGAGTTGTATTTTCAAAATAATGGAAGAAATAGGCCACCCCCAATCCTTTTGTTAATGAACTATCCACTGAACATAATTTAATAACTAGGCTTTGGTTCTTTTGAAGTATATAGGAAATTTCAATTTTATAAAGGTTAAATTCTATTAACCTTTATAAATAATCTCTTATTTTTCCACTGATTATTACGTATTGAAGAATTATGAGAGAACAAAGAAAATAAAAAAGTTAAAACTCCTGTCATATAGATATTACCAAAAGAGTCAAGTTAACAAAAGTATTAGTAATTTAAATGGTCTTAAAATGTAACTGGAATAAAGGAAATCTTTCTTCTATTACAGTATTCTATAGACTCCAAATTGAAAATTCAATAGCTACAACTTGGATATCTTTTAATACATTTATGAGTGAATTTCATAGTTACCTCTCTCTTTCTTTAGGAATCATATTCCTGAATAACTTTTTTAGGTAGAATTTGTTTAATTACTATTAGAAGTAGAATTAGGGAGCTTCTACATTAGGTGCAAGTAAGGATTTAAAAAAATGCAAGTATAAAAACTTTAAATATAGTTGGCAGATACTGTGGGAAAAGGTGCCATAAATTACGTGTATACAATGCAGAGTTTATAGAATGTTTATAAAATATTTAGTATACATAAACACAGTAGTAATAGTGGTCACAAAAATTCTATTCAATGTGTTTTTATAGTGCTATCCATAATTCTGCCTTATTTGTGTTGCAAGCAATATTTTTTTATAAGATCTCTTTTTTTTAAAGATTTATTTATTTATACAAGAACTGGGGTACAGGCCAGAGGCGTGGGAGGGTGAGAGAATTCACCAGACACAGAGCAGGGAGCAGAACAGGCAGACAGACTGAAAACACTGCTGAGGGAGCAGCGGATGAGACAGGAGAGGTCTGCCACGCCATGTGGGTATCTCCCTGGCAAGCTGGGAATTGAACCCATGATGCAGAGGCTGGGGACAGCTTCACAGTGCTGTGCTCAACCCGTTGTGCCACCAGGGAAGCCCACAAGCAATTATTAAAAATGGAAAATATCTTCATCCGTTTTAAGATTCAGGATTTCCTTTAAAAAAAAAAGGTGTCACTGGGGAGATTTAGAATCAATAACAACCATTTTAAGACTGGATCCAGATTTATCTGCTTTAATCAACAGAGTGTTTTACACACTGTTGACTGACTTGAAGAAACTTCAGATATACTTTTTGGTCTATCCTCCATTCCTCTTCCCATCCGGAGAGCAGAGAATCTTTTCTTGGTTTTGAGAAGGTACTTTTCCAAAATAGTGAAGTTAAGCATGCCTATTTCAAAATGCATGAACCAATTCTCATATGAAATTAATTATTCATTCTTTGATTTCTCAACATCTTGTTGCTTCAATGGCTTCAATCATGGTCAAATTGAAAGGTAAGTAGCTGAATTTGAAATTGAATCAACAAAAATCAAGCCTCTTTATTTAGACTCCAAGTTCTGAGTTCTATTGGAGAGCATGGAAGTTATTTCAAAAGCATTGATTTCCTCTTCCTTTTATAGGCCATTTTATTTATTTATTTATTTATTTTAAAAGATTTTTTTATTTATGCATACAACTGGGGTGTAGGCCAGAGGTGCGGGTGGTGGTGGGGGGGGTGGCTACAGAATTCACCAGAGACAGTGTGAAGAGCAAAACTGGCGGATCTACTGAAATACATTGCTGAGGGGAGCAGTGGGCGAGACAGGAGAGGTCGGCTGTCCCATATGTGGGTTAGCTCCCTGGCCAGGGATCAAAATTATGCCGCAGTGTCTGGCTATTGCATGATAGCACTAATTTTAACCCCAGTGTCACCAGGGAGGCCCTATAGGCCATTTTAAATATTAAGTATTACTTATGATTATAAATTAGTATCTTCTCTGCCTCACTCTTCTCACCTGAGGTCAAACACATTAGAACCTGCCTTTTAGATCAATTCACCAGCCACAGTAAGGTGAATTTATTACTGTTTACTTTTGAACAATCCTATGATCCACTCCCATTCTCTCCTTTCCTGTTCTTTCTGGTTCCTTCTCTCCTTGATCTTTAGCATACAGAGTGTCAGCACTCTTGAGAAACACAGAACTAACTCAGCTGATGTGAAATCTAGGGACTTTCCTCTCTGAAGGTACTGCACAGGAGAGGGAGCAGGAGAGATGAGAGCACCGGCTGGGGACCAGGGAGGCTGAAGAAATGTGCACAGGAGGAAGCAGAATGACGGATGTCAGTTGGTTTGTTTGCTGCCTACCCACCCCAAGTACTATTAAGTAACAACATCGGTGTCATTGGTTGAGCACCCTAAAAGTAAACAACTGTAAGGTGAAGTGCTCTAAGTCAAGGACTGCTTGTAAATGCATTTACATTTGTGTAAGTTTATTTCCACAATGCTTCAGGCAGTTCCCAGTAACAGTACATGACCCTGCTTACAAACAGGTGGTGTGGTCCCTGCTTGCATGCCAAGAAGTAACTATGATATTACATGAAAATGACTTGAAGAATGTGAAATTTTAAAGCTGATTTGAGAAGACTGATGCATGAATACGCATTAAAGTTAATTAACACAGCCAAAGTCTTAAGTACACGACCTTACGCATGGAGCTTATTATTCTTATAAGGTAATGAAGTATCGTTCAGCAGCAGCATTTAGCATGAAACTTTAAAATTTTCAGTAATCCTATTTGAAGAATTTGGCAGGTGTTGATGAAACTTGAAAGAAACAAGATAATTCCTCAAGGAAAGACCATTACTTTTTGAAGTCACCTTGTGACTTCCTAGTGAAAGCAAAGTGTGAATTTTTTATTTATTGAGTCTTAAATATATTTTTATTTGCTTTAATACAAAGGAGTTTTTGCCCTAGTAAAATTTATACACATTTGCTATCCAGGGGTTGCTAGAATACAAATGTAACTATCAGTATCCATTATTTAGATTAAGTTGTTTCTAAAGCAACTTTAACAGTTATAAATAAAACTCAGAAACTTTCAGTTAGAAATATGAGGGGGAGGGGAGGTAAAAATTAGTGGAATTTAATTTGATTTAGAAAGCATTAGCCTGGGCAGGAATTTATGAGGGAAGAAGAACTGGGTACCTTGTTTAGGGACTTTGCATATTAAAAATATTTCATTTCCAAGGGTGATTTCCAAGTTTACATTAAATATAAAATAAAATCTGAACTGCTTTTACATGGCAGGACAAATAAAGCTTTTTACAATTGGTTACTGTTTTTGCCATGAACAGAATGGTTACTATTTTTGCCATGAACAGAATGAACAGAATTAATCCTACATTAAATCACATTTTCTGGTAACCAGGTCTAAACAAACCTGTAGAGCAACAGTAAAATTATGATCTCTCTGCAGAATGTGTCAAACTGTCAATTGCAATGTCACAAAACAGGGTAAAAATGGCTGCCCTGAGCCATTGATTTTGTTGAAATTTGATTTTAGGGAAATAAAGAAAGGAAAGAGAAAAAAGGAATGCAGAAGTAGAAAGGCAATGGCCTGAAAGATTATCTATAAAAGTAAGTTGCAAGTTCTTGTTAATTTTTGCTTTGAAAAAAAAAATAAAAAGAACATTTAAAGACATAGAATAATACATTTTTTGACAAGTCACCTTGTCAGGATGTGAAAAGGCCCCCCACCAACTCTCTAAGAACACAGGATGCATTATTACCTTTGGCTACATCAGTGGCCCAGGTCATAATGTGATCCATGTCCATCTCTTCACTTCGGTTACTGTTAATGTAATCATAGAGTGATCCCAGAGAAGCATATTCTATTTTTAAAAGGAAGATAAGCAAATAATCAAAACCAATATGCATTTCAGAAATAATACTTATATTGTCATTATAAAAAACGTATTAAGGAATTTAACACAAGACATTAAAAGCATATAAATATTGCTTCATGTAGTGGTTCTCAAAGTTATTATTCTAGAAAGAAATGTGTCAAAAATAAAACTGCTAATTGAATGAGTAGTAAAACTTCAGTTGAGGATGAAATCAAAAGCCATTTAGATCAAACTGACAAACACTAAATGGTGATGGAAGAATGAATTTGAAACAAAGGCAGGCATGTAACTAGGTATAGCTGTCCTCTTGATTTCAATACATCCCCTCTCCCTTTGATTTTCTGTTCCTCACTTACTTGTGCTCTCTGTGCTAATATCTTTATCATTTTAATTCCTCATTGACTTTTTACTCTATTTCTTTAGTGAACTCATTGATGGCTCAAGGGATTACAAAATACATCTTAATTTAGCACCATCTGCTTCAGATTAATACTAATTTAATTACAGTAAGTCAGATTCTTTTCCCCAATAGTTTCATACCCTCCTTCATCCTTTAAATGGTTACTATAAATCACATTATATCTACATGTATTTTTTTAAGTCAACAAAGCAGTGTTGTTTAAATTATTGTTTTATACAATCTTAAATTTTCAAGGAAGAAATGACAACAAAAATATGTGTGGATCACCCAAAGCAGTGATAGTGAAGGCAAAGATAAACAGCTGGGACTACATCAAATTAAAGAGCTTCTGCACAGCAAAAGAGACAATAACAAAAACAAAGAGAAACCCCACCAACTGGGAGAACATTTTTGCACCCAACACTAATGATAAAGGACTGATCACAAAAATCTGCAAAGAGCTGATGAGACTCAGCAACAACAAAGAAAATAACCCAGTCAAAAAATGGGCAGAAGAGCTAAAAGAAACTTCTCTGAAGAGGAAATGCAAATGGCCAACAGACATATGAAAAAATGTTCAACATCACTTGTAATCAGGGAAATGCAAATCAAAACTACCATGAGATACCATCTCACACCAGTGAGAATGGCACATATTAAAAAAACTAGCAACAACAAATGTTGGCGAGGGTGTGGAGAAAAAGGAACTCTTCTGCACTGTTGGTGGGAGTGCAAACTGGTCCAACCACTGTGGAGAGCTGTGTGGAGATTTCTGGACCTACTAAACATAGAGCTTCCATATGATCCAGCAATTCCACTCCTAGGTATTTACCCAAAGGACACAGAAACATCAATTCCAAAGAGCACCTGCACCCCTATGTTTATAGCAGCACTGTTTACAATAGCTAAGCTTTGGAAACAACCCAAATGCCCAAAAATAGATGACTGGATCAAGAAGATGTGGTACATATATACTATGGAATATTACTCAGCATTCAAAAAAGATAAACACATGCAATTTGCAGCAACATGGTTGGCGCTGGAAGGGATCATGCTCAGTGAAATAAGCCAAAAAGAAAAAGAAAAATACCGGATGGTCTCACTCATAGCAGGAATCTAGAAAACTTAAATAAGGGACCAGGAAAATGAATATAAGAAAGTGAAAATCAAAATCAACAAAAAACTATGAACCAGAGACACTTTTTGGGGGGTGGGGGCGGGAGGGGAAGGATTGGGGTCAGAATGGGGGGTTTGCAATTGTATGGGGGAATATAAAAAAAAATTTATTATTTAAAAAAAAAAAAAAAGATTGAGTAATTTCTACTCACCAGGTTTTAAGTTTACTGATTTTATAGTTCGTGGGTTAGAGGCACAGGTGGCAACCTAGACTTGCAATTGGCATCCAAGGAAAGGAGAGGGCAAGGTTGTGTGACTGTGCCCTTAACCCATGGGATTAGATGCTATCTACAGGTAGATTGTGTAAGGATTGTGCTAAATTGTATGCTATAGCTGGTGGTGCAGAGAATTGCTTCATCTGGGAAAAATTACTGTACATTTGGTGATCAGGGGTGTCTGAAGCAAATCAGAATATTTAGAGTAGAGGAGAACAGGGTCTTTTTCCAGAATAAATGCACTTTGAAAACTGTGTTTAGCTGCTTTAAAAACTGATTTTGCTGATTTAAAAAAAACCAGGAATATAGAAGATATATCATTAAATGAAATTGTTTCATGAATGTGAGGGTGCAAGAAAGACAATATTATTATATTATTTCATGTAAATGCAGGATCTTAAAGTGTAGGTAGCTATTTTTTTTAAAGCATTTAATTCTTTCATCCCTTTTAGCTCCTCACTGAAAATTAAAGACATCATATACACATATGGTTATGTTTTTCAACCCACTTCTCCCTAGAGAGTACTTTAATGAACTTAGTGTAAAATATTTATTTTAATTCTTTTTTAAAAGCATCATTAAGAATCATGTGAAGAAAACATTTTGATTTCTAAGATGCCTTTTCTATTTGAGTTCTGGCAACAATAGCTGGCTTGGAAAATGTAAACAGACTGTCAGTATTGTTGAAACAAATATCATTACCATGAAATATTTTCATAATATACTATCACCAAGACTAAACTTAGTTTGACTTCTAACTAATATAACAAATGAATTTGGGCAAATGTCTAGAATTTGTTATAGGACATGGTACTTGTTTCTAACTGGCAAATAAGGAAAGACCAACTCAATAGTAAAACATGCAAATTATATGTGTCTGTGCTTAAAATAGATCAAAAGCAAGTCAAAGGAAATAAGATTGGGCATTTAAAATTTAATGTTTTCTATGGTTGAGTTTAATGTGAAGGTGGGCCTGTTCAGGAATTACATAGACTTAGTAGCCTTTCTTAGAACAGTGGTAAGAAGTAATGTGAAATAGACAATAAAATTAATAGGTAGTAGCAGGCCCAGGGCACAAAGATGTAATTCACTAGGTCTCTGGCATCCTAAATCATCTTCCTCTTGAACTTAGGGACCCAGGGGGTTCCATACTTTGTGCAGGGTTCCTCTCCAAAGTGATTTGCTACACAAGAGTTACATGATCTGGTATTTAGGACTTCTTCCTTCCTCTCCTGGGGGCAAGGGGAGAGGAGGTGGGAGAAGGGTAGATGAGGGGGTGGGGGGATAGGGAGGAAAAACAAGATAAAAGTATGGGAGCAATAATACGTATTTGAGGTTTCTAAAGATCAAAGAAAAGATGATCTATTATTAAATCTTTTGACTTTGGCATTTGTGGTTCAGTCAACTCTATTACGTAGTATATCTGAAGAAAAGATTTTCATTTTCCTTCCAAGAGAAATGAAATGGCAGCTCCTTCTTGGACCATGCCCATTTCCTTTGATAAGCAGCTTTTGTAAATGTGTGATGAAAAGTTTCAGCAAACACACATGCACAGGAGTACACATACACATAGTCATCCAGATATAATCTATTCTAATCCCTTCATACACAGATAAGAAAACTGAAACAGAGATCATCAGTGACTCAATTACACAGCTTTGGCAGAATCAAGGCAAGATCTCACACCTCCCAATTCCTATGCTAGTGTTTATTACATTCTCATCACACTGGTAAATCATTCTTTCAAGTCCTCAACGTAAGTGACAACAGGTGCCTGCTGCACTAACCTCTTCTATTAAATAAACTCAAACTGAAATGATTTCAAGCCATTCAAGATAGACCCTTACTAACAGGGATGTAAAATAACAGTATTTCAATTAAAAAAAAATTTCCCTCAGTGTCTTCAACAGCTGAGAAAGATGACGTGCTTCTAAAGAAATGCATCTACTTAGGCCAGGTAATTCAAGCCTGTCTGTTTATCTGTCTTTTTTCATTCTCAACCTTTCCATAATGACTTAATGGTGTTCATTTCAAGAGACAGGGTAAGTGCTATGATACCCAACCCATTTAATCTTCCAAATTTGGCTCAGTTGGCAATGTATTGCTACCTATACACAAAGCATGGTTTGATCTACTAATGCAGAAGGTTGATTGGAAAGTTTATGTATTTTTTTTGTTAGATATTTGTAAACAATTGAAATTAGCATCACTAGAATGCAAAGATAATTGTATCAAATTAACATATTTGAAAATACCAAAACTTGGTTAAGAGGTATCTTTAATAACGAACCTCGCAGGTCAATAAAAGAGCTACAAATACACAATTTACTATTACCTCCCAAATCTGAAACTTGTGTTATTTTAAAGTGTTTAATGTTATAATTGCTTACTTACTGATTGGATGGGGAAATATAGATCTAAAAAGAATTAATTATAACCAAAGATATTGTTGAATAGGCACAGGGATGAGCAAGGAATGCTAGAAAGGTACATAATATAAACAACTGGCTAGTCTATAAAGACAACTAAATAATATCAAACTTACTGATAGGACTGCTTGGATTCTTTCTCTCCTTTGGATGAAAAGACCTGGATTGAACATACTGAATAAGCATGAATGCTTTATATCCTCCTTGGAACTGAAAGGTAAGTCTTGGGGAAAGGAATTCACACCATGACTCATGGCCCTTTTTCTACTCCTCATCCTCATCTCAAAAAACTAGGACCAGGGAGGACCTTGCATACTATTTTTTAAATGGATTATAAACATTCGTTCCAGTAAAATAATGTTATGGAAAATTTTAAAAAGGAAAAGAAAAAATCAGTCACCCCACTAACATAACTCTTATTTGTATTTGTCCCCTAGTCTTTACTAATAATTCTTTTAAAATATTTTATATTAAAAGTATGTGTCTTAGTCTTCACCTAACCACTTTGACACTTAGGCATATATAATATAAGAATAAAAATCTTTGAATCATTATAACATGTTCATTAGTGGTTCAGTATGATCTTTTTAATTTTTTAATTTAACTTAATTGTGACACTATAAAATTCCTAATAAATTCATTACCATCCTCCCCCTCCCCAAAAAAAGAAACTAGAAAACTCCCTAAATAGTTCACTCAGCTAGTTAAACTGAAATCTTCTCCTCAAATACATTAAACATCAAGGTACAAGACAAGAAAGTCTAATTTCTTTAAAGCCTCATGCTTTCATCTTCCAGATAAAAGTAACTTAAGCCATAAAATGAAGATCACAAAACTGGATTTGGATTTATAAGGGAAACATAAAGAAGGAGCAATATTGTAACTGGGTCTAAATAGGGTTTAACTTAAATTTAGAAATTGGAACTACAATGTTAAACATATATAACCCATTCTTGGATATTCAAGTTAATAAGAAATAGGCTCAAAATAAAACTGCCACATATCCTATTTTAAGCATAAATCTAAAGATAGCTAATTGGGGATAAAATGTCCTCCACTTAGGACCCTAGGTAAAAATGCTATTTGTCAGAGTAAAAGCATGGTAAAATGCCTTTATCAGAGATGGAAATAAGTTACCTTTGTCCCTTTGTACTTCAGAACCAGAGTGCTTGTAGGCTTCCAGGACCTAGCTTGTGTGCAAGAAGAGGAACTCCTGTTTAAAGTCAACCTGAGAAATTTAACCACTCTGATTCTACCACTAGCTGAGTGACCTTGAGAAAGTTTACTTAAAGTTTCAGTTTCTTATTTGTAAAATAGATATTATTTTGCTTAGTGAACAGTGCAAGTGTTAGATGAGGCAATTTATAAGACAGTACCCAATCCAATCCTTTTTATTGAGGTTGTTTTATGGTTATTTTCTATAAAAATAATCCAAGTTCTTACCACTACAGTAGAAGAAGACAGGACTAATCTTTTAAGGTTTTCTTGATTGTTGTTGTAATCAAAGAACTACCGCAATAAAGAATCGACCAAAGTTATTTGTTGTAAATTGAAGATTATACTTATTATGCTTCCCAGACTGCTCACTGGAATGTGTAAGTATGAGCATAAAGTATTAGTAATATATGTCCTTGTGTGGTTTTATATGCAAAAATATCTGTGTGTTCCATTTTGGAAAGGGTATTTCTACCAGTTATAAATTGCTGCTCCAAATTGTGTGATAACTTAGATCAAGGTCATTACCAGCCCAGATGACCAAACCTGAAAAATATTGTCCACATGTCAGAGACCTTAAAGAAAGAATGCTCTAATGGGATTTAAATGCCTTGTAAAGAGTTACAACAGGAATAGCTCAAGAAATCTTAATTTGTAAAAGGTCACAGAGTTACAAAAAACATCGCTCATTTCAACTAATTAAATGAAATTTTAGTTAAACGGCACCTTTAAATATTGGTATTGCAGCTGTGAGTGCATTTAAATAGCATTTACACAGATATAATTAGCACAATTAAACATGGGTAGAAATGGAAACACCATTCTTAATTATATTGATATAATCAGTTTTATTAATGCTTTATGGCAACAAAAGTGACATCTGACAGTAGCATACAATTCATGACTAAACCTAATATTAAGCATTTTAGCACATTAAGAAATCTAAAGCTAGGTAATTGGGAAAAGGAAGAAGTCAAATAACGAGTTCCTACCTGTGACGATACCATAGTTGGGAGGTTCAAGAATTACTCCATAAAACTGGATGATGTTTCTGTGACTCAGGATACTGAGTATTTCTGCCTATACAAAAATCAAATACAAAATTGCATAAAATTTCACATTTATGAGTCTAATAAGATAGATTTCCTATTCAATTTTCTTTACCATACATTTACAAAGATAAACACATGTGCTCAACAAGTATGAGATACTGATATAATTCTATCTTTACTGCATTCTTAAAGTTTAAAAACTTCTACTGATGCTTCTATTGACATTTTCTTAAATTTCTGAAAATTTAAAAAGGAAATGGGTTAAAGTGGCAACAAAATAAGTGTTTACTTGCAAGCTGGTGCTACTAACAGTGGAGGGGTATCACTGTTAGTTGTGATTCCATATTTATTTACAGCAAAAGCCCTTTTTCTAATAGTCAAATACATATTTTTCTATATTATATCTTCTCTAGGAAAACTGAACTTCTATCAGTTAGGTGAGCAGTTGTGGCAAAATGAAGCTATGGGCTTGTACCCATAGCTGTAGAATTGAGACTACTATATGGCTGTAAAATTGAGACAACTATAGGGGGCAGGGGGAGGGGAAGGCAGGAGAGAGATGCCTATGGTAAAGGACTGTGGGGTGCTTGAGTTGGGTGTGGGGTGGTAACTACTCCACGGAGGTGTGAACCATGCCCAGTGTTATAAACCAGTGTGACCTCAATAAAGAAAAAAAAAAAATATGGGCTTTTAACTATTAGTGGAATAGAGTCAGATAACACCCATTTATATTATTTATCTTACTCATTCAACACTAATTATTGTTCTACTGTATTCAATGTACTATAAAATGATATAAATATAAAAGATGGATTCTAGACCTTCAGTGGTGATTTGATAGGGAAACCTTACTTTATACTTTGAAATGTATTACATGTGAGAAAACTATGCTGCAGAATGACACAGTAACAATTATATTTATTAAACGTAATTTTTAAAATGAAAAAAAAAAAAAAAAACAAAAAACCAGATACCACAATGTATATCCACTGAAGTCTATAAGGACATCATCTAGATTAAATCACATGTAGTCATTTATATTGTATTACTTTTAATATAATTTATGTGAAAATAAAATACAGCAAATGAAAAATCATGATATAAAATGATGCAGGTTAAAAAGAAGTTTTTAAAATATAAAAATATTTTAAAGTGAAAGGCATATTATTGACCACAAGAAAATAAGATTTCCTATTTATCCCAGAAAGAGGATCATGAAGACAAGTGTCAGCAACAAAAGAGAAGAAGCCTTGCTCAGAAAGAGGACTCTCCTTCCAAAATCTGCACACTATGAATTAGTGCTAATTGTTACAATTTTTTTCAAAGGATAAGAATCAAGATTTCATTTAAAATACCATGAGACTTGTTTTGAAGGTGATGATAGAACGAGGCAGGAAAAAGAAGTTTGAGGGTTGGCATGGGGCCCATATGGAATTATATAAAGGAAAATTATTGAATGGATGAGATTTTACCAAAGTTGAGTTGACACTGGTTTTCTTTCTGTAGCATAGAAGTGGAAGGGGCTATCAAAATGATTCCTTAACACCCACTGAATATCGCTGTGTGGAGGTTTTGTGTTTATCAAGCAACCTTTCCTCAGTTTTCCAGTGAGGAAGAAAACACATTAATTTTGCAATATAATTAGCCATCTGTATGGCAATTCTATTTCTCATTAAAAAATTATAAATGAGGGGCCTCCCTGGTGGTGCAAGGGGTTAAGCACTGCACTATGAAGCAATCGCTAGGTTCTGCAGCACAAGTTCGATCCCCAGGCAGCCAGGGAGCAACCCACATGGCGAGGCAGACCTGTCTCACCTGCTGCTCCCCTCAGCAGTATATTTCAGTCAGTCTGCCTGTTCTGCTCCCCACTCTGTCTTTGGTGAATCCTTTCACCCCCACATCTCTGGCCTGTATCCCAGCTCTTGTATGCATAAATAATAAATAAATCTTTTAAAAAAGAAATTATAAATGAATCCTATTATAAAAATAGAGTTCATAATCATAAACTGCCCCTATTTTTAAGTGGCAGATCAAACCTTTGTGAGTAAAGCACTAGAGTTCAAAGTGAGTAAAATGTTAATATTTAAACCAGAGTTTGTCAAAGTGGGAGAATGTTAACCTAGGTATGCTTTGGTATATTTCTTGGTATTTTAATTCTGGGACTATTAAAAGTGTTGGCATCAAAAATAAATACAATGGTCATTTTACACATGACATGGGATTTTCATTGTTCAGGCTCATTTTTATATTTACGCTTACAATACTGCCAGGTGACACCCTGGAGGCACGATTTCTCTCTTCAAGTGCTGTGTGCTGAACAGCTCCTGAGTGGGCATATCCTAATTTCAAAATAACACCTTCACCTTGTGTTCCATTGTTGTGCTTACATTTTAATTTTTTACAGTTATGAAAACTAACTTTTACAGTATAACTTTCCGGTGAAAGCCATTTTTATGGAATGTGGCTTTAGGTTCTAATTTAATAAACTAAAAATCTGATTTAATATTGTGATGACAACAAACTATTGTAGAGTGCTGTACTAATTTATGGAAATGAGCTAATAATAAACAGAAGTAGACTAAAATACAAGTGATATTTGCGTTAAATGAAAGGTGAGCAATCTGGTCTTAATAATTCAAACAGGTGTCAGTAGAAATAACTGGAATTAACTGAGTTACTAAATAAAGCCTGTGCTGTCGCAGTCAGTACCTGACAGCAATACAGCAAGTGGCTGTATTCCATAGATCTGCCTGTAGATCATTAATAATTCATTAATAAAATGTAAATATGTAGTAAAAAAGCAGGAAATAATTTTTTTGTAAAATTGGTGTTTTCCAGATTTATATTCTGGGTTACTCTAGCAGCTAGATGGCCCATCAAGGTAATAGATTAGTGGTTCAAAATAGGGATCATGGGTGCCTTGGTGGTAGGTGTGGTGTGGCAACATCCATCTTAACAGGTGTGAACCCGTATGTCTGAGTTATATACAGTGTTTTATGCCAATGTTACCTCAATAAAAAACAATACAATTAAAGAAGAAAATATAATGATGAAGGCTAAAATAGTGGTCCATTGTGCTAAAAATGTAAATATGTCTTTTTACAAAAAACAAGTACTGTATTTTCTGTTGAGAATTGTTCATTTTAGTTGTATTGCTTTTATAGTTTCATCTAGCTGAAAAACTGGTTTTGATTTTATAAGAGCTATAAGCATGGGAATTAACTTTTAGTTTTACATTTGTGTATATTTAAGCGATACTGAAAATTATTTTAGTCAACACTGGAAGTCTAGCTAACAATCTTTCTGTACAAAGAATCTATACCTTTCTCAGTTAGCAAAATGCTATTCTAGGGTCTGAAACAGACACTTATATGCCAACATTCATAGCATCATTGTTCACAAAAGCCAAAAGGTAGAAACAACCCAAGTGTTTGTCAACTGATGAAGAGATAAGCAAAATGTAAATACAAAGTAAATGTAAATACAATGGACTATTATTCAACCATGAAAATGAATTAAGGTCTGATACATGTTACAACAGGATGAATCTTGAATATATTATGCTAAGAGAAAAAGCCTGCCACAAAAGGTCAAATATTGAATGATCCTACTTAGATGAAATATCTCAAATTAACAAATTCAGAGAAAAAGGAAGCAGGTTAGAGGCTATCAGGGCTGGTGGAGAAGGAAATAAGAATTTTTTTTGGAGTGATGGAAAGTTTTGGAAACGGTACTGATATCTGTAAAACACTATGAATATAATTATTGTCACTTAATTATATACTTAACTATGGTTAAAATAGTAAATTTTATGCTATATTTTTATGACACTAAAAATGTTTTAAAAATATTGTTCTTTTGCAGAGATGACTGCTCATCCTCTTCTCCCTCCCCCTACACTAATTCTCTTAAAATCACAGACCCAAGGTTTAAATATCCTGGGGATAAATACATAGTTTTTCAGATTAGGATTTGAGCATCTAAGGAAAGACTGGGACAGACTCCAGCTATGTTAACTCAGGCTCAACGACGTCCATAAAGCAAAATTGTTTGAATTTGATAATAGAAGTTGGGGTACCCACAGGTCTAGCGATACAAATGTCCAACAGTGATGTTAGCAGTGTTAGCAGACAAAAATGTCTGCACAGACACTATTTGCAGTAGGCTCTGTGACTATTCCCACTGTTGCCAGGTGGAGCCAGTTTCTTCCTCTTTTCCTCATTTCCTCCTTGTTAATTCTTTATAGGAAAAATTACTGAGGTTTTAGTTTGTTAATAGAGCTGGGGGAGGGGATGGTGGTGGCGGTGGATATTTTGTTAATTTTTTTAATCTGGCATGCATATGGGGAGGTGAACCATTAGGTCAGTCGCCATGTCCCCAGAAGTCACCCAGCATACAAGTTCTAGACAGGTGATTCCAGCAAACAGAATAAGAGAAGTTAAATATAATAATTTAAAATTAACTGAGTATTATAACTGAACTAAGTTTAAGAGTTTTTTTTTTTTTAAATTTATTTATTTGTTTGTTTGTTCGTTCGTTTTGTTTATACATGCACTGGGTACAGTCAGAAGCGCGGGAGGGTGAGAGAATTCACCAGAGCCAGAGCGGGGAGCAGAGCAGGCAGAAGGACCAAAGTACACTGCTGAGGGGAGCAGCGGGAGGCAGGAGAGGTCTGCGCGCCTGTGGGACCCTTCTTCGGTGGCCGGGGAGCAGCCGGGGATAGAACCGGCGCCGCGGAGGTCGCCGGCAGCTTTGCAACCCAGCGCTCAACCGCTGCGCCACCGGGGAGGCCCAGTTTAAGAGTTCTTTTAAAAGATTTGTTTTATTTACTTTTACATACAAGAACTAGGGTATAGGCCAGAGGGGGTAAGAGGATTCTCCAGGGACAGAGTGGGGAGCAGAACAGGTGGATCCACTGAAATACACTGCTGAGGGGAAGCAGCAGGTGTGTCAGGAGAGGTCTGCTGTGCCATGTGGGTTAGCTCCTTAGCCAGAGATGGAACTCATGCTACAGTGGCTGGAGATAGCTTGATAGCACTGAGACTTTAACCCCTACACCACCAGGGAGGCCCTTAGAGAAGTTTTAACTCCCTTCTTTTAAAGTACTCTGCAAAAGTTCATTTCAGAGTAGTCCCTTTCCCTTAATTCAAGTTTTTTCCAACCTAATCCCAAATTCAATTTATTTCTTTATTTTGGAGACTTGCCATAGAATCTTTAGAGATTTTGTGCTTTTAAAACTTATTTTACGTTTTCTATATTCCACTGATATAGTATATGTATGTACATGAGAAATAAATTGAAAATAAAATTGAGTTCACTTCCTTTTATGAAAGACAGCAAAGATGCAGACAGCAATGATGACCCATATCACTAGGCTGGTCGGGCCATTCCCATCTTGTATTAGGAATAGGCTATGCTCTGCTGTTGTCAACAGCTATTACTCTCTACCTCACAGCAGGATATGAAGTGTGGGATCTCCTGCCTGTGATGTGGCAGTGACAACAAAGATACTGTGTGTGAAAAAGTCCAAAGCACATTTCTGTCCAAGAACGTGAACTGCTCCTTCTTGCCTAGTGTATTTGGAATTTAAAAATACTATTCCATGAACCCTGATCTTACCAATTTTAAGATTCAATGATTCCAGTAAAATATGATACTAAAAGAAAGAAAAGTGGCTCATCCAATCATGCAGAGGAAGCAGTCTGCTCACTGCACTGTGCACTCAAGGTCAAAGGTGCGCTCCAAAGACAGAGCTGTCTCCCCAGTACCAACACGATCCAGGACCAGTATAATTTCCCAAAATTCAAGAAGTTATGAGATATCCTATACTTTTTTAAAATGAAAATTATATACATAGAAGAGAGACTGGGAAAAGTAAAAAAAAGTTTTTTTTTTGCTAAGTAATAGAATCATAACTGATTTAAAGTATTTTTATATTTTCCAAATTCTTTACATAAACCTATAAAATATTCATAATTAGTAAAAGCAATATTGACCTCCCAAGACCACCTTACACACATAAACACTAGTTAACTCTGAGTTAGCTCAGTTTCTCCTGATGTGACTCTGGAATATGTGTTCCATTGAGTTTGTCTGGGATTTTTTACTGACCATAGGTCTCCCCCCACGCCCCTGCTCTTGTCATGAATTCACAGGGAATGGATACCAGCAGCCCAAGGTTCTTTTCATTGGTTCTCGCAGAGTATGCTGCTCAGGCTGGCATTTCACTTCAACCCAAGTACTTTTCTCCTTGGCTTCCTTTTTTTCCCTAATTATTCTCTTTCATATGTTTCATGAAGTTATTTCAGCTTGCAGAGTGCCTGCTGTGTCTCATACAAGCATTAATTCTCTTTGGCAAGAATCTTGCCCTATGCTTGTTTGTTTACAACAATGCCAACTGCATGCTGGCAACATTATAGATGCTTCCAGTTTGCCATGGTAATGTCTGTGGGGCATTCCTTTTTGAACAGTGCCACCCCCTTGATGTCTACGATACCATCTTTCTTGTAGATTCACATGTATGTGGCCAAAGGAGCAACTCCATGTTGGTCATTTTAGTGATTTACTAAAAGGCATGTTATCACAGTGACAGTCTTTTTTGAGTACAAAGAAAGTAAAATCTCCTAGTCTTTTTATGATATCTCTTGGGTGGTATCCCTTAAAGCCCTGTTTTTAAATCTTCACTATTTGCTTCATTCCACTTTAGCCACCTTTCCTATCCTGCCAGATTAGTCTGCCCTTACTTGGGTATTTGCTTAACTAAAGAGCAGACTGATCCTGGAGGAGAACCCAGGCTGACTCTTTTCATAGTGTTTGGACCAGTTTGCATTCCCATCAGCAGTGTAGAAGAGTTCCTTTTTCTCCACATCCTCACCAAGATTTTTTGTTGCTAGCTTTTTTAATATGTGCCATTCTTGCTGGTATAAGGTGGTATCTCGTGGTTTTGATTTGCATTTCCCTGATTATAAGGGATGTTGAACATTTTTTCATATGCCTGTTGGCCATTTGCATTTCCTCTTTGGAGAAGTCTTTTTAGCTCTTCTGACCATTTTTTTCCTGGATTGTTTACTTTGTTTTTTTTTGAGTCATGTGAGTTCTTTGTAGATCTTTATGATCAGTACCTTATCAGTTGTATGGAGTGCAATTTTTTTCTCCCAATCAGTAGGGTGTCTTTTTGTTTTGGCTAATGTCTCTTTTGTTATACAGAAGCTTTTTAGTTTGGTGTAATCCTAGCTCTTATCTTTTCCTTCACTTTCTTTGCTTTGGGGGATAAGTCCTTAAAGATGTTACTGAGATGTATGTAATGTAGTGTTTATCTACATTTTCTTCTATATAG